GTTTTGAATTTCAGAGTTCATGAATTGATCAAGTAACCTCAGCTACATGTACCCCAATTCTAATGTTGACCACCCCAGTTTAAATTAAAATACAAATAAACATTTCTTAAAACATGGGAATCTCACCAGGACACATGTCCTTTCTACACTCCTTTGTTTCAATGCTTGATCCAAGTTCTAACTTGTCACAGCTTAACCCATCAAACATGGGTGCTGGACTATCACAGCTTCGCTCTCGTTTCTGCACACCATTTCCACAAGTCACTGAACATTCACCAAACGTTGACCAAGGACCATAGCCACCGTCAACTGCACATACATATATTAAACAATTATTATTGGATGAGGCTTTTGTGATATCCAGAGTAATCAAGGTCGAGGTAGGGGTTATCAGCCTCAACCTTCAACTTTGGCTGATAACCCTTACCAAGACCTTGATTACTCTGGATATCACCAAAACCGAATCTAATAATTGTTTTATTATACATTGAACGAAAAAACAAAGGAAGTCATGTTTTTGCTTCTTCACTGACAGCAAGCAAAACAAAGCGAGCGAACTTGACATGATTACCCTCAAAAATAATACACTGCGGTCATACATGACATGATTACCCATGACCTTGAGTCTCCTTGATGTGATTATTGTATAATCTGCAGCTAGATGATGTCACAGGTGCTAATTTTGAAAAGTCACTGTACGCTTTCGGCTAATCAGAAAAGAGATACTGTAGTGAGGTCAATGTATAATAATATATGTCATTGAACTACATGTAGCATGAGGCATGTATTAGAGAAATTTATTGGTCAATCCTTTCTTGGTAAAAGTGCATGAGCAAAGTAAGCATATATTTGTAAATGTTTCCTTCCTAGTAACCATTCACATGTAACTGAAATTGTTCTCCAAACATAAACAGGTTAGAAATGATTTTAAAAAGTGTTTATTTTGGGTAATGAATTGAAAAAGCAATTCACTAAAATTAAATCGTGAGTAGTCCATCTTTGTGGTTCATGTTGCAAAATTCGGACCGCTAAGGGAACCAATCAGAATTCGCAAACCAGTTCAACCATGTGATAAGTTGCAGTTACCTGTCCAGTAATTTCATTTTATGTATCATATTGTAGACGGACAGTAAGTCATCTGGAGATATAATATCCCACTTTCATGGCTGGCTAAAGCTCAACTGAAATGTCAGCCATCTCCAGGTGTCACTTACCCAGGGATTGGGCAGAGGGTGGGAGACAACTGGCATTGCAGGCTAATTTGCTACCAACAGCACTGTGGTTAACTTAACTTCATTGACATCACATTCATTTGATGATTAGCTTAGCGTTCACTGACACTTGTAAGCACAACAGCTAGTTTTGAAACCAGTCCAATAAATGTTGCTTTGCCTCTTTTAAGTGGAAACCTGTGTCTCTAAAGAACATACCTAGTTGCATTTAGGAAATGAAACTTTGATCAATGAATCACAGCAATCAGCACACCCTTTCCAGAGCATAAAAAAAGATAAAAGTCAACAGTCATAACTCAATACCTGGGCATGGGTTCATGTTACACTTAAATGTTTGTGAATCCTCTCCATGGACTGTGCAGTCATGACCACCCAACCTCGGAGCAGGATTGTCGCATGTCCGTGTGCGGAACCTTGTTCCAGTGCCACAGGACCTTGTACACTCTGAAAACTCAGTCCACTGTGAGAAGCCTCCATCAACTATAAAAAGTCCAATGAACAGGGGGTATAATTTATTCACTAGAATTGTCAACAGGGCACAAAGAGTAAAATAAAAATGAATCCTTGCTCAATGGTGGCACAGAAGAATGCACAGTGGCTGTTTGGGGTCATACAAAGAGATCAAATATGGTGTACTCCCATCCCTATGATTTTTACACGGCAAAATTGTCTCTAGTGTTTACCTTCAAACACAGCACAAAAGTTTTGAATGACTTTTTTATCGAGCCACAATGTCACAAAGAATACAGTAGTTGTGTCTCTCCTAGCTTCAAGATTTCAAGAAAAATATTAATAATTATATACCCTTCCCCCTTCCTTTGGTATCAAATTCCCTGTCCTAATTCAGTGACTCGTGTCAAATTCCCACCTCACGAGGCACATCAAAGGGTCTTTGGCCAAGGATTCTTTGGTTCCTTTGATGTACCATGATCCAACTGTTCTTTAACTGTATTAATCTGATTACCAAGGAAATGCAAAATCCTTTTTGAGGGTTTAACAATCCAATCTTGGATCTTCCTGAAGAAGTGCTCTTTAGATTGCTGCAGGTCCACATCAGCCTTATGGCTGGATTATCAAATAAAAAATTTATTAATTGTACTAGGAGCTTGTCAAACATAATTTTGATATTACTTATCCAATTAATCACTGAATTTTACTCCTCTCGGTCCAGCTACTGTACAATGCTATAATGTACTTTATTTGGGATGTGGAGCCATGTTAAGGTAGAATGCTTCTCTCGAATTCAGCAGGGGTTATGTGGCGAGACATGTAAGCCTAAAGGGGAATGGGACGAGACATGGGCTTGTCTTACCTTCTTCTCTACTCCGTTACCACATAACACCTATTTTATTTGCAATGGCTAAAGACTTGTCTAAGTGACCTTTTAAGAAAAAACCAGCTGCGAGCAGTAAAATGTTAAGGTGATTCCATTAACCTGCATAATTTTTTTTCGCATCCTTGCTGTGCACAATTTTTTTGTATCACTGGTATATGTGCATCTCAGTGCTTGCATGGATCATTAAACATACACATCATTAAGAGATTTTGCTGTCAAGTTGAGATTGACGGCTAAATAATTGTTTGTTTCCTCGTAAATAAGCACAGCTTTTTAATGGATAAATTTAAATGAGATGTGGTTAACTAGGATATAAGTCCACGTTTAAAAATTTGAGATTTCAGCTTAGTTTCATATGAATGTTGTATAGAAATTATACATCGGTTTTAATGCTGGTTTCGTGCGCATGCAGAAAATTCAGCCTTTAATTTGCTTCATGAGCTTAATTCCCTTTCAATTAAAATAGCTTACGATGTAAGTTCAAAGTCTATTTTAATGCAAAAAATGACTTTTTTTCACAAATTAAGCTTAGCCTCGTTCCCCTTTCCTGACTATAATATATACATGTTTGTACAAGCTGTTACGTTGCAACGGCGTCCTAACAAAAGTGTCGAAAAATCCAAAGAGCCTACAGAATCTTACAGAGATACAACGACAGCGGACTAGTGCACTTACCTCTGAAAATATACCTCACAAAATTATGAGCCACAAAAAATGTAGCAGAAACTAAAGCGACGATTGTCAACGTTTGCAAGACATTTCGAGGCATATTCGATCGTATATATGAAAGCGATGATGGCTGAATTTGTAACACCGTCAGTCGACGAACACCCTGCTGTCACGTAATAAATGTAAATAATTTTCTCTGTTCTACTCTCACCTTCAACGTGGACTTTCAAAAAGCGTTATTTGTTGCCGTTCCCTCAACAACCTGGAGTTTAATGGAAAAATTTTAGGCTAATTTTAGACTCCATGAAAGTTAGATTAGGTTTCAGTCTCTTTCAGAAGTCTCTGAAGGAGAAGCTTGGGCAATAATTTGTGCGTGTTACCACTGCCAAGTCTTTAGAGTATTGCTGGCGGAAAAATAAAATTATCAAGCTAAGCTGTCACGCTATGCTTGAGGATGGTAATTGTTCGAAGGCGCTTTCTGGAAGTTGGCGTGGCGCTGTTCCGAAATCCTTGCACTGTTAGAGATACTGCCAAAATTTTCTATAGAAGTATGTCTATGAAAGCACTTGTAATTGAGGAGTTTGGTGACTCGTCGAAGCTGAAGTATACCGAGGTGGCAAAGCCAGAGCCCGGGGAAGGAGAGGTAAAAATATGATAGTGAACCAGTCTATTTGTCATCTTAGACATGCCCTGTCGACATCCAACGGGGGTCGCAAGGATTTCGAAATAGACGATTGCATGAGACGTAAAAATAATTGTTGGTAACTATGAAAGTCAAAGAGGGCTTCAGGTCTTTGATATGTAATAACGCTAGCGTGCCTAGAATAATTATCTATAGAAGTTAGTAAATTTCCGTGAGACTTTAAATTTTACGTTCAAACACTATACAAACCTATTTAAGGTATTGTTTTCGATCCTCGATGTGTACAAAGAACAGTGTTGTCTTTTGATGCCTTCAGTAACAACCCCTGTAGCAACGCTTCACCAGGACCTCAAGATAACTTGTTCAAATCCCACCCCCGTTACCCTCCCAGATAGTGTCAAATTTCCCACCCCAATATTAACCACTGATGTCAAATTCCCACCCACCCACCCATGCATCGACTGGTCAACTGCCTGGGGTATGTGCAGGGAAATGTTGATGTCTCTAAATAGGTGAGACATCTCTCCTTCAGATGGACCAAAATTAATTCTGAAGCCACACTCTTGTCATTTTCCATATCCTTATCTTAATTTATATGAAAAATTGACAGGGATGGCAACCTCTCCTCACCTCTGCCCCNTTTTCGGTAGGTTTTGATTAAAAATGAGATCTGTGGCCTGAACTACCTGGATGTTGTCATACGAAAAGGGCTTATACAGTCACTGGGATCCAAGTTTCCTCTGACAGCGGGTGTCGAGGCTGCTGGGATAGTGGAAAAGCTAGGTGCTGAAGTAGGTAGTGTGGCTGTAGGGGAGAGAGTAGCGTTTACGGTTGTTGGATCTGGTGAGTTGAAAAGATATAGAGGTGTGTGTCATGCATGCTTTTTTCCCCACAACATTGCACACTTTGAGTCTGGCAGTACCTACATGAGAATTAAAGTTTCTGAGTGGATCTAGAAAGTTGCAAAAGGGAGGAGGATGGCATGGATTATAAATCTCAGTCTTTGCTATCACATGTAGCTTAAGTTGAATGATTGGATTTACACTGTAGCATCCTCATATCATAGAATGACCACACCCCAAATTAAATGTATCTTATGTCAAAGAGATTTTAATTTGTAATAATTATAGGTGCCGTTTTCCAATAAGTACGTTTACATTATATACTTCCATCTAAGTTCAAATGTAAGTACCCAGTATCCAGAGTTTAGTTTAGGTTCAGTTGAAAATTATTTCAAACTATTTGTTACCACTATTGTTTGACATGCTCGTTAAGTATTTAAATAGCAACTAATTAACCCCCTTATACCAGATTTCATGTCCCACTTAACAGAACTTCAATACTGAAAATCGGATCTCAATACCAAAAATGTCTTCTCTGCTGCTAGGAGCACATGCTGAATTCACTAAAGTGCCTGCCTCAAGACTTGTAAAAATCCCAACTGCAGTCAGCTTTGAACAAGCAGCTACAGCCATGATACAAGGAATGACCGCACATTACCTTGTGTACACAACTGGCCAACTGAAGCCTGGGAACAAAGTGTTGATACATGCAGCTGCTGGTGGGACTGGGTCCCTGGTGTGCCAAGTAGCAAAGAATGCAGGTGATTTATAGAGTGCCAGGTCAATAATTAGCCTACAAGCAGGCAGCATATAAGTCAATAACCAAAAACAAATGCTAACATCAGTTTCATTTTTGGTGACTTTAACTGGAGATAACTTTTTCAATATTTACGTAAATGCTGCTAAACTTTGTGATTTTATCTGAAATTTGTTGAAAATAATTTGGTTTGACACTCCTGGACACGTCATAGTTCTTCCAAGTTGGTGTTTCCATGGAAACCGTGTTTTGAAATACATTTTCTAAATTTCAAATTTTCTTTTCTTATTAAAAAATTCAACTTTCATGGAGTTATTTTGGCTTTTTCAGAAATTATTTTCGCACTATTTTTTGTTTGTTTGTTTGTTTTTTTTACTGTCATTTTTGGTGGTTTTCTGATATTCACAATGGCGAGTGCAACTTCAAAGTGGTTTTGTATATTGTGACATGATTATGAAATGCTGCTACTATAATGCGAAAGAAAACATTGTAAGACGTACTAAACACCCTCCAAGTTTCCTCATCGTGGTTAAATATACCGTAAATCCTCGATATACCGCGCTTCCCCACCAATAAACGCCCTCTTCGAATAAGCGCCCCTCCTGTCAGCCAAAATTTAAAATAAGTCCCTCCCCTCGAATAAGTGCCCCCACTCTCCTCCATCTGGTTTATGGAAGAGTGCTGAGACAACAAAGGATGTATATTTTTGGTCGTGTTCAATCACAAGCAACTGATTATCGACTCATTCAAGCACTGCACATTGACCGTCGTAACGGATGGTAGTGAAGGTCTGCTGATTCATTGCCTGGAGCCCAACCAACCTTATACAGCGGGCCTACATCGGCTAAAGGGGTTATACTACCTAGTTCTTCAAGAGAGACAGGATCCTTCTGAGACTTCTGAGGGACCGGCTGACACTTATACAGATATTACAAAAAAACCGGTCATTTCTGACCACGATTTGGGAGAAATTAAAAAAGCGCCTCCCCTCCCCCCCGCTCGATTAAGCGCCTCTCTCGAATAAGCGCCCCGCGTCTTCTTCTAAATTTGAAATAAGCGCCCTGGGCGCTAATAACGAAGCGCGCGAAGACTAAAAATAGAATGCAAATTATTGCAACTCTGCGAGAGTCAGACAACACAAGCGTTTTCTGAGAGAAATAGGAGGAAAATGGACGCCAAATTTTCGTTTTAAAAATTGTTTTAGGAACACTTCCTTACGCGCTTGAAAAAGCTTCAAATCTTCCACCATCCCGTTTTATTTGTCGGAGTTTGTCTGAGTTATGACGTCATCGCATGCTTCGCAATTCGAGGATTTATGGTAATTGGAGATACAAAGGGAAGGGGGTGAAATCAATTTTTTCGTACAACTTTTCTTACAGGAGCGTTTGTGATTGGAACAACTAGCACCGAGGCAAAAGCAGCAAAAGCGAAGGAGGCTGGGGCAGATGAGGTCATCCTTTATTCACAGAAAGACTTTGTTGAAGAAGTTAACAGGATCACAGATGGTAAAGGCGTGAATGTCATTTATGATGGAATTGGGAAAACGACCTTTAGAAAAGGTATGGTAAGAAGGCGTGTGAATAGATCTATATCAGTATATGTCATGGCATTAACAAATTATTTCCTTGACCGGAATACGTAATGAATCTTCCAGTAAGGATGTTGGCGTGTTAAACCGAAGTAAATGCTTTTTAAAAAGTTTATCAGTAGTGGTAGAGCGAATTTGCCCTTTTTGTAGCGTCTTCCTAGTATCATCTACTCACAAAATTTGTGCTAAACCTGAACCCCAACCAAGTCAGTTTAACATGGTCATCTGCCAAAGACGATTAATAGTGATGTAACTAGATTTCGGCGGGAGATGGACATAAGGTCAGATCATTCGTGCAGTCGTGCTACGAAAATAGGGTTAAGCTCTGCTGTGTGGCCAGTTAGTCCGAGTGTAACTTAAATTTTTAGAGTAGTCACTTCTTTTGGAATTCACACGTAACGTGAATTTGATGTACAAGGGTGAATAAACAAGGGGATTTTTTTTATTAAATTCAGTTACCTCCTCTGCTAATCTGTTGGCGCCTCGTCAAAATAAGTGCAAGTCAAACAAACTCCTGAAATTAAAGGCTTAAAGTTAGCACTTGTTATTGTGTCTTGTCGTGGTCTGGGTCTGGCCTCTAAGGCGTCCGGCGATTTTTGTTTTTTTACGTAGTGGTTGTTTACCATTTACACGGAGAAACCGGTTCATCAAAGGGATGGCGTAGTGGTGAGAGCGCTCGCCTCCCACAAATGTGGCCCGGGTTCGATTCCGGCCCCGTGCCATATGTGGGTTGAATTTGTTGTTGGTTCTTGCCTTGTTCCAAGGTTTTTTCTCCCGGGTTGTCCGGTTGTTCTCCCTCAGCAAAAACCAACATCTCCAAATTCCAATTCTACCAGGATAGAGGACCCGCATGTAAACCTGCGGTTTAGGCTGATGTGGCTTCCTCTCTAAATATTGTAATTTATGGTAAGTTCCGTTCACATTGGCCATTTACCATTTACTCAAAAACTGCCAATTTACCGAAAGACTAGGACGAGTTCAACCTAATCATAATTCCAAGATAATTGCAAATGGTAAGCACATTTCCAAGTGCTCAGATTTTTTGGATGGAAATTTTGGACTACCGTTCATGACGTTCCGTTTATATTTCGAAAATTTCCGCGTTCGGTCAAGCCAAAATTGTCTTAACATTTATATTCTGACCGAAAGTTTTGAGATTTTTGGATATATGGTAAACAACCAGTATTGTCTACACTGTTTGCAGATCCCGTAGGTATTTTCTCTGTTTGATCTGTTAGAGATCGAAAAATAGCCCATGTTCGTACTGTCGCTTTTCAACTGGAACTACAGTAGCTCGCAACTCAGGCTAATGCGAGGAGTCTTCGAATGCAGATAACATTAATCTCTTTTTAATGATATTTTCCCGCATGAGAAAGCTAACTGCAGTCCAATACCAACAACACGAATATGGCCAATTAAGCAGCGTTGCTTTTGATTTGTTATAAGGTACAACTTTGTGCCCACAGGTTTCGACTGTTTGGCCATCCAAGGCATCAATGTGTCGTATGGAATAGTTTCGGGACCTCCTGATCCCATCGATCTCAACACCCTCTCAAAAGGGTCCTACTCCGTCTGCCGACCTTCCTTATTTCACCACGTTGCCAAAGACGAGGATCTCAAATGGCGAAGTTCCGAAGTGTTTGACTGGATCAAAGAGGGCAAAGTAAAGTTTGGTGAATTTACAGTGCTACCTCTGTCGGAAGGAAAGAAAGCTTACGAGCTGCTGGAGAGCGGAAAGTCTACGGGGAAAATATTGATTAAACCGTAAAGCTGGAATGAAATTCGCAGTTTTAGTCCAAACTTTTGAATGAAAATGGAACGTAGCTCTTTCTAGATATTTGAAAACCATAAGAGAGTTTAAGGGTTTTTAGCTAGCTTCTTAGCGTGACCTCGATGCTTTGAGTTTGCTGCAGTCCAGAAAATGACGCAACCTGCAGCAGCCAAGAGTAGCAAACATGCATGTTTTTAGGGTTAAAATCATTCTCTTCTCCAGCCTCCGTTTCTTTTAGTCACGTAGTCAGCGAAAAGGAGGTAACAGCGAGTAGCACCGGGGACGAGAATGGGGTAAATAAGGAACCAATCGTTTTGCGGTTTAGTGTTCGTGCTTCAGTCAAGTTTTGATTGGTTCATTGCGTCATGTTCTTTTGTCGTGATTGGCCCTATGTGATCATGTGATCAGCTTGTAGCAAAACGCCGATGACAAGAGTCCTGAAGGTGAGCCGGATCTAATCCTTCGAAGATATCGATTTCCGCAGTGATGATATAATCATTCGGCTGAAGCTTTTTTTCTCTCTTGACATATACATATAGATCGTTTTCACCTGACGTCATCAAATTCCAAAATCCAAAACTAAAGAGCCACGAACATTTTGATCCTCAAAAGGCATAGGGAGATCTAAACTTATATCTGTTTACGACTCGGCTAGCTCGCTCTAAAACCAACCGGGAGCCTGTTCGCAGGCTAGAGTTATGGCGGTGCGTGACATACCGCTCCGATCGCGTTTGTGGAAAAATATACACTTATCTAGTGACTTTTAGCCTTTTTAGGACTTAAAATGTTAGGAAAAGTGCTTGTGTAAATGTTTGTGGGTTCAATTTAGATTATCAGTCGCCTAGATAGCCAAAGTAATTTCCAGATGTTTGCACTATTTTTCGGCCGCCATGTTAGTGGAGCACAGAGCTCCACCAACATGGCGGCTCCATACTGGGCTCTGTGAATTGGCGCAAAACATTTCGACGAATATCTGAAGTTTGGGAAAGCGCAGAGACCCAAAACTTGGAGAAGTGTCTTCTTTACCTGTCCCCTATAATGTGAAAATTTCTTGACTTTATCCACTGAATAGTTTTCAATTTATTTTTTCGTTGCGTGACAGTGAAAACCTTCTATAGGCACAAGCTAGAAGGTTAAACTTCGCCAGTGTTTGCATACGCTGTTTTAGAGCGGTTTTCATTTGAGTATCGAAAAGTAACTGGTTTTGCATCAACTATGCTATACGATTGGCTTGAATAACTCGCGCCACTTTTCCATCCAATCAGAATTAAAACCAAAACCAATTGTAACTCACTCGCACTCGTTTTCCCGAGCTTTGCGTCAGCTACATGTAATTAATTCGAGTTTGGATTGGTTCACTGTATTGTCTGTGTCCTGTGTGATTGGCCAGAGTGATTACTTTGGTTTTTGCTTTACGACAACTGCTCTATCAAACAACAATTTAATTTCATTTGCCTTGAATATTGTTACTTCAAGAAAGTGATATTATAAGTGTTTTGTGTTTTGTCCCTGACACTGAGAAGCATGTTTTTGAGGTGTTAATTTGGGCCCCAAACGAAAAGCACAATGCGGCTAACTGGACGGTTTCTTTCAGAAAAGAACCAATTTTATTAGACAATTAAAGTACCGAACCAGAGACGGCAATTGTCACTTGTTTGACCTTGCTTGATCCCTTGTTCTTGATACTGAAATGAGTTTTTTTTTTTTTTTCTTAGTAAAACAACACCCGCTGTTTGATAACGCTATTTTGTATAACCTCGCTCATACACGGAATTTTCTTTCAAGATTGTGGTTACCATTTCGTTAAACTTCCTTTGTTAGTTAGAAATATAGGAACATTAACTAGAAGTTACTGAAAATAAACATTGCCTGAAACTGGGGGTCAATCATTGTATGCTGGAACGCGGAAATGACCGACGCCTAAGCAGTAATGTCATGCACGCTTGTTGGAGTGCAAATTAAAACAAAGAAAACAATTAATGGTCAATTGAGGCGGCTGTCGGAACTATACAGCCCGATTTCTCACCTCGTGTTCTTATTAATCGTGGCAATTCCAGATAAAAGTTAAAATAATTTCCTGGTTTTCTTTAATTGTGTACGTACGATTTCGAATTAACATCGTATTGCTTTCGACGTGTGTCAGTCACTTGAAGTGGTTCCGCGTGAGTAGAAATCGTTTCCCGAACCCGGCAGACACACAGCAGAGATGTAATAAATAACTAACTTACTCACCTAGTCTTCTCGGCCCGTACTTTAAGTTACGGAGCCTTGGGGAAAAAATCGGTTCGTAACTTAAAATACGGACCTCGAATTCGATTAGTAAGGCTATAAGAGGTATGTAAACTAAACAATTTAGACAGAAAGGTGCCGTAATTCTAAGAAAATAATAACGATTGTCAATGCAAGGAACAGATTGGCTCGGTAAATATTGAAAAACATCTGCTCCGTATAGATTTTGATTCACATGGCCAGCAGCGTACAAATTTATTGTAACTGATCATGACAAAAGGAAAGACCAATGGATGCTCAATTTTATTGTATGGTGACAACAGTAATTCCATATGGATCACTTAGTAAAAAATGCCACAACAAGTCCGCGATGTTTATCATGTAAAATCTGATTTCTAAAACTTTGTATTTCTGTGGTTTAACAATTTTTGATTAAAACTAGTTCGTGATTACCTCTTGGTTCAGTGGTTTAGCTTCCTACGTTAATTGGAAATTAAGGAACACAAAATGCACTTTTCCGGAAAGCTAGGAATCAATATATTAAATGAATGCTTGAACGAAGAAATGACAAACACTTAATATTCTTGTCACGCTTCAATTGTGCGAAATGAAAACAAATCAAAACTTGAGCTAACCTTCATTTGCGGAAAACTTATTAATTCCTCTTCCCGTCGCTTCTTGGGGCGCTGAAACTAGTTGTCGGAAAATACATGATTTGGCAATGGAAAGATCGCAAAAAGAAACATTAAAGTTTGAATAAATAAAATCTTAATACAAGGCTTAAAAAGGGGATAAAAATGGGATATGCCTCTAAAATTGCCATTGAAAATACGTTTGAGTGTAATTTAACATATCTGTAATTCATAAGACCTGAGTAATCACTCTTTGTTATCAGTTCTGTTCATGTCCTTCTGCGGCAAGCTTTGGTCATAAGGTCATTCGATTCGTTGGCCAATAACTACTGGGTATGAATATTTCAAAACGTGTGAATTGGAAAGTTCATTAATGTGTGTCTCAGCTTGTGAGATGTTAACAATAAGTATGTTTTTGAGGCTTTAGATTCTCTAGAGGAGGAACTCAAAGTGTTTCAGCTTTTCACGGAAGTTGATTTCGAACAACCTTATTGTACAGGGAATAAATTCATTCCTTGACTGATGACTGATGACTGATGACTGATGACAGTTCAGCTGAAACACCAAAGTGCCACCAGCCAATCAGAAGCGTTCCTTCTTAAGCTAACCAATAAAAACTCGAACAAGGCACGAGGAATACATTTCACCATATATCGTACTGTCGATCGAAGTGGAAAGGGTGAAGTGAAAATGTCTGCAGACAAGAAGACCGTGGTTTTAGCCTACAGCGGGGGCCTTGATACATCTTGTATCTTGCTTTGGCTCCAAGAACAAGGATATGACGTTATTGCGTTCATGGTGAGTTGAAATAGCGTGATAAGTTTTCGTGACCAAGGTGACAATTTTCAAAAGCTTCGCGAATTCGACTTTGATCGTCGTATCCAGGGTCTAGCTTTCCCCTGAAATGTAAAAATACAGAAATCTATATTTCATGAACTTGTTCATTTGGCGTTGATGACTCATCGGTATCGAACTGAGACAGCTGTGAGCTCCGGGAAGTTTTCGCCGCTCACGAATCAATCACTCAAGAACGCCCTCTTTGGATTCAAGGTCATGATCACGCGTTCTAGTATTCACAGTGTTCGACCTATTTTTACTTTTTCAGGCAGATGTAGGACAAGATGAAGATTTCGAGGAAGCGAGACAAAAAGCGATAAAATTGGGCGCGAAAAAGGTTACACGGCTTGTTATAAATTGCCACGTATTAATGGTGTACATAAGCTTTTAAGCTGTAAAAACAAAGATTTCAAAAATACCTGAAGCTTATAAAGCTAGTTAAAGAAAAAAGATCTCTAGACATTACCAGAGAAAGAGGCCAGGGCTGATGGTGTAAATATTGCTTTCCCGTATCTTCGTTCAGACCTTGTAGTATTTATGGCTAAAATCAAGGATCTTTCAATTGGTTTCTACTTATAAGCACCAGCTCACAACCCACTGCAACCATCATTTTAAATTTGCATAGGATTTTCCTGTCTTCTAGTTATGAAGATTAACAAAGATTTATTTATCTTATTTGCCAGGTACTACATGTGAGTGCCTATACCACACTAGTCTCATCTTGTGTAAACATTGAAACCATAGTTCTCGGCAGATGATATTTATTATAAGTGATATTCATGTTTTATTTGTAAATATTGACCTTTTAGTCTCCAATATGTTAAAATCCTCTTATGAAAATATTACAAAATGTACTATATTTAATCACAAGGAATTAAAAATGAAAATAGTAGTCGTAAGTGAGGCATGGGTCGCACTAGAGCGAATTCTGTTTGTTTTACCAAAAATTGGGCCAAAATTCAACCTTTTCCTAATGCGACCCCTATGAGCAAAATTTGGAAAAATTTGTCAGTCGACCAAAAAGATCAAAGACACCGTAGTGTATGGGTGGGGCAGGCAGATTTTTCCAAAATCACCCAAAGAAAACAAAAATTCATTAAACATTTTAACTGCGTGTTTATTTAAGAAAATTGCTGGACAGTATGCCTTTACGGGAAAGCGTCATTGTTTACAAAAGCGTTTTATCAGTGTTTACACAAGAATTAAGCCTTGTCATGTGGCTTCATGTGCAACCAGAAAACGAACCCAAAAAAAATTGGTCCGTGCCAATATTTTTGGGTCTTTAGGACTGACCAAAAAATAAAATTCACTCTAGTGCGACCCATGCTTTAAGCTTAAATTTGTACAGTTTGTACAAAATTGTTTTTTTCATCAGTAAGCACTGTCTTTTTTGAGAATAAATTAGGTTTTCCGGCCAGACTATTTTAAGACTCTTTTGCTTAGACTTGGGCTCCTAGAAACAGGAAAGGAGCTATATCTAATGGACCTTTCTGTACTTTTATGATTTCTTCATTCAAACATACTGAATTTAATTAGTATAGATTCAAAGTTTCATGTGAATCCTTTGCAAACTCGTGAAAATATGACACCCCAAACTTGCCAATTTTTACAGAGAAAATGTTTGCCAGAGGGCAAGCATTGTATGGCCAGATGTTGTTTTTACTAAAAGTAATATGTATGATTAAAAATATCCACCGATGTTCCAAATTATACACTCTGTGAGACAGAGATTCCCTTCTCTTTCTGCTTAGTGAGAGTTGAGAGGGAACCTATGCTTGCAATCACTCAATTTCCTATTGTGCATACGCGAACTACAACAGCATGTCCTATGTGTCATGGTTTGCCATGCAAAATGTTTGAACACAATTTGTAGTTATTTTTCAGCAAATTGCTTAAATTCCATCTTTTCACTGTTTATTTAGAGAAACTGCAGAAATTTCATAGAGCACTTAGGGACAAAGAAGCAGACCGATTAAAGTAAAATTGGCTTCAAAACCATGCTGTCCAGGGCATGCTTCCCAAACTGAAACAAACTGTTTAGGAATAATCGAAAACTTAAGCCCAATAACCTGCCTACTTATATTGACGTGCTCCTTTGACAATGAATAGCTTGTTAGGTGAACTAATGTACAGCAATAGTTTTCTGGAACTGTGAACACAGTAAAAGATCAAAGATTGGCAGTTATTCATAGAACAAACAGTCTCTTAAACGGACATTGTTTTGAATCTTATATCGATCTGTCATGTATACCGTTATAAAGCAGTTAAAACTTGTCAAAACCAGGATTTTAAATTTGTTAGTCACTGGTTGTGGATGGTGGCTGATCAAACGATCTTGAAAGTAGTTGCAAGCAGAGGTTCCCTCTCTTCTCTTACTGAGCAGAAGCAAATTATGAACATGTAGCAATTTGTTTGTCTGGTGTGGATTTAGTTAATATATAATATTATTTGTGTTTTAATAATGTTATACTTAAATCTTTCTCTGCTTTTAAATGCTGCTGTAAAAACACTGTAAGTCATATTGTTTCTTTTAACATAACAGGTGTTTATTGAGGATTTGAAGGAGGAGTTTGTCAAGGATTTCATCTTCCCAGCTGTGCAAGCAAATGCAATTTATGAAGATCGCTATTTATTGGGAACATGTGAGAATTATATGATTAAAAACAATTTTTTTTGTTATTAACTAGTAATAAAAACTATGACAATGCAAGAAAGTTCTCGTTCACATGTTTAAAGAATTCTATTTCTTCTTCACATTTATTATTTCAAAAGATAAAAATGGTTAGTACAAAAAAGTAAATAATAATTATTAATTAATAGCAGCTATCTTCAAAATAATGCATGAAACTACATGTACATGTATGAGCCTAGGCTTTCTTTGATTGGATTGTCAACAGAGCAGAACCAAAACTATAGTGGCAGGTTTGTTTTACAGAAACAGATAATCAGGTTACACAGATACTGAGTAGTAGGTAATGGGTAACATGTAATCACATTTGGGAATAGCATCATGCTAGTGAACCATCATCATTACTTAGAGGTTTCTGTAAGCCAAGTAACTGGCACACAGCCTGATGAGCGCTCCAGATTATAACACTCAAGTTTAAGCCTCTTTATGGTTAGCAATCAGTGCTAATGGTAAACACATTATTTGCATGCTATTATATATCATATGAAAAAAATACCTGTTATCATTTGCCTGTTCCAATATAGCTGTTAAAAAAAATACTTGCCTTAACCAATACTGCTCATAGAAAACAATAACAAATTTTAGTTCCAAGTACTTTTTCATTAAAAAATAATTCTTTAGAAAACCTTTACACATACATTACTGGATATTTTCAATTTAAACCAAAATCAAAGAACAACTTGTCTTACAAAAAAATAAATTAATACATGACAGTAAACCAATATTAGTTGTCTCAATAATCATTCATTTGTTGTTGTTTTTTAGCCATTGCTAGACCTTGTATAGCTCGCGGTCAAATCCAGATTGCTCTGCAAGAAGGTGCGGGATATGTATCCCATGGTGCCACAGGAAAGGTAAAAAAAAAGTAGTGTTCTCCTAATTTGTGACAACCTTTTTACCAGACATCATACACAAATACTGGCCTCAACAGAATTTAGACAGTGTACAAATTCCTTTTGAGTATCACACCACGATCAAACAGCCTTAAGAACAGTGATTTAGAGCCAGAAACACCAATTTTGCCCCCTTTGCAAACATTTTTACCATTTTGCGTCAGATTGTTGTCTTGATCATTTCTTAAGTGTAATGTCAAAATGTTGTATTGTGACGCATTATGGGAGAATAATGCCCTTGAATTAGCCAAACAGAGCACACGTTGTATAGACTGCAAACACATTAGCCATATAATAAGAACATGTAATACTCAGTGGCACTTTCCTAATAATTTTTTTAATTATTAACAATAATGTGAATTATTTCCACAGGGTAATGATCAAGTGCGTTTTGAGATGACTTACTATGCCCTGTATCCAGGTGTCCAGGTAAGTGATGATGAGTGCATCTGTTATAAAGCAATTTGCATTGTGCAGTTCTTGTTCCCAACCTTAACTAATTTTTTTTTTCAGAAGCCTAATTCTAACACTTACTGTATATTGTGATAACATGATGACCATAGTGTAGTTGTCTGGTTTCCTTACAGGTTGCCAAGTTTAATGGTTCTCTTTGACTTGAATAGTGTTTTATAATTATATGTTCACACATGTGTTAAGCTACTTTTTGAACATTTTTAAAAAGGGGAAAATGCCGAGATGTAAAAGCCCTGGACTCTTTGTGATGATATTAATGAGACTATTAAACAACGAAACAGTAATTAGAGTACTGAAGATAAAAAATCTTCGGTTGGAACTTCAAAATTAAAAGTTGACCTCTTTACTCCCTTAGATCTGTAGTTTTGAAAGTAGGAGCAATTAATTGTTCTTTTAGCCAAGATTGCTTTAATTAATAAATTTAGAGGCAAAATAATGTAATTAACTCCAGTCGAATGAATCATTCAATTTGTTGATTTTCTCATTTTAAGGTTATCACACCATGGAGACTGCCAGAATTTTACAACAGATTCAAGGGGAGAGCAGACTTGTTTGAATATGCTGAAGTAAGTTAGTTAATCTTCACCTAGCAAGGCTAGTAATGAGCTTTTTTCATTGTTGCAATGGTTAATTGTTTTTTTTTTTCATGTGTTAATCTAGCTAGTATATATATCCCTCCCATGGAAGGTTTTTTGGTATAATCCCCCACCCCTCTGGAAATTCTGGTTTAGCTTCACACTTTCCTTTAAAAGTTTTGGCATTTGAACTCCAAAGGAAGGTCAATGAAAACTCCAGGAGGGAGGGTGTGGATATTTCCTGGAACTGCACAATAGATATTTTTACCAATTATGCCATAATTAACATGTTAAGAATTTAGTTGACAGTATGCACATGCTGAGAGGGGTGACACAAAATTCAGTTAACTAATATCTTGAGATGAATTTTAATCTTAACATGCAAATGATTGATTGTAACAGTTTTTTAATGATGTAATTTGTTGTGATTTGTTGTAATGGTTTATTTTGTCTTGCGCGATCGTATTGTTGATCAATGTGTATTTTAGTAGGGTTCAGTGCATATGGAAGCTACAGTACATGTAACTGATGTGTGGGCTAACTGCATGTACAGAACTGTATAATTTTTCATGTAAATTAAGATCTGGGTAGTCTCTTTACACATTGCATTATATATCATAATAATATTTTTTTTTTCTTAGCAAATGACTTGCTAATAACATTTTGTGGGAAATTTGTTAAATGGGACCCAACCCTTGCAAGATTAGATTAATTTTTACTGCTGTAATTCAGTTAACAAATAGAACGAATGCTTGTCACAAACTAAATTATAATTTCAAGAACTTACTCTAAACTGTGCTCTGCTGATCAATACCACGTGGTCATTGTTTGTAATCTTGTTTATGTACCACCCAAAATGCACGAGGCTTTTTACTCATAGCTAGCTCATTTAAACTTGTACCTTTTTCTACACCTGGGATATTCTCAAGGCAACGGCTGGATAATAATCATTTATTATTTTTTCAACAGCAAAAGGGCATACCACTACCAGTTACTCCAAAGAAGCCCTGGAGCATGGATGCTAACTTGATGCACATCAGGTGGGATAATTTGGCCACCGTTTTTAGTCATGAGGATCGTGAATGGGGTGGAGAGAAAGGGGTTTGGGGGGGAGGGAGGGTGTTAAATCCCTTTTCCCAGCCTATTTTTGTCCAAATCCCAATCTTATTGCCATTTTTTTTTTATTCCCAGTTTCAGTTATCCAAATATGACATACTGTAAACTGCCACTTATAAGTTCCCCCGCCATCAGATACTGTTTTAAAGTTATAAATATAAATTTATGACTTACTATAACTCTAATTATTTTTGACTTATAGTTATGAAGGTGGCATTCTGGAAAATCCAAAGGTCAGTATGATTTTGAAGTTGCAGTAATCATTACTGAGAGACATTTTTCAGAAATATGCATATTTTAATACTTTTTTGAGTACTGTATTTATTTGCTTGACCGGGGATATGGAGAGGTGTGTCTCCCCTAAAAATTTTGTAGCACTTGACTTTTTGGGGTGAAATGTCTTGGTAAGCACTTTTTGGGGGTTTGACAAAAAGCACATCTCATGGGCCTTATTTCTGTTTTTGATTAAAATCATAGTAGTTTCATTTATAGATTTAAAGTACACGCAAATGATAATATCCCTTTATACAGGTTTTTGATGATTTTTTGGATTACTTTCTGAGATGTTGGATGTTTTGAGGGTTTGGTTTTAACCCAGTATTACTTTTTTACCCACTTCCAAGTGCTGGCATCAATATTATCATTTTGTTGGGAAATATGTCACAAAATTTCAGTTGTATTTACCACTTTTCTTACATGCTATTAAACTGGATATTTGCTGGCTCCTGTCTAATTGCAGACCATGGCACCAGATGATCTGTGCTTAATGACAACTGATCCTAAATCTGCTCCTGACGAGGTTAGCTTGTGTTAATTTTCATCTTGTAGATCTTCAAGTGATCATAGGGTTAGGTACATGTAGGAGAAGTAGCTATTTTGGCTCTCTCATTCAAAAATTATAGCTTGATGATCTTAGGATTAACATTAATAGTTACAATGTATCATAACTACATAATTATAATATATTCGTGATATGTGTACCTAACATTAAACTGATGATGATGATGTGTTAAATGCTAGCGTTAAATGCTAATTTTCAAATTATCCTTCCACTACAGGAGAGGGACATTTCCAGTGTCATTTTAACGAGAATCCGAGCATATGAGCGGTTGCAAAAATTTTGTGAGCGTGAGCAGGCTAGCGCTCATCTTATTTTTGCAAGCAATTCGAGCAAAGACCAAATTTTCCAAGCACTATTAAATTGAATGGGACCATTCGATACCCCTTAATTATAAAGGGAGAAAGGTGTGAAAACTGTTTCTTCGTAAGAATGACTGTGGTTCAGTTGTTTTCATACATACAATCAGACAGTTAAGGAATTTATAATTTGATACTTTTATAAACAGCACTATTACAATTTATTATTTGTTTTGACTTTTCTTGTCTCTTTGTTTCTTAGCCAGAGCAGCTTGAGCTTGAATTTAAGAAAGGTAATAATTAAGCTTAGAATTACGCTAACAATGTCCTCCTCTTTGCTTTGTATTAGTCAGGGTAGTTTTTGTTTGACTATGACATGTAACTCAGTAATGAATGGTTTACATGCTGCCTTGGTTTTGTATTTCCAGAGTTTTGCTATGAATGCAAAGCATTATCTTCAACCAAAGAAAAATTGGAGACTAATTTATTGGGTTACGTGCGTTTTCATTCCCTTCCCCTGTGTGTCGTACTTGCCTACCCTGAACTCTCCCTTCCCGGCCCTATGAAGGGGTGAAACCCAGATGGGAGAGGAGTGAGTCCAGTGTAACTGTCTTCTCCTGGCTGTGTTAAACTGGTCCCACTGTATAAAAGAAAGAAGGAAAAGGTCAGGGACCGGACTAGCGTAAGCTGACTAAGACAGGGAGAGACTGATTCAGAAGAAATCTTCTGCATCATTTAGCAAGTATCAAGAAACTATTTAATACTCATTCAGAGAGTTCTAATAAAAACTTTTCTATTAAAATCAAAACAGTCATTCATCTTGGTGGTTGGTTAGATATCGAATTAAACTGAACAAGTTTCAGCTTTTGAAATGGTTGCTGTTTATACACACTCGACTCTAAAAAGCCATAACTTGTAGGTTTCTATGACCGCATGCCTGCCGTGGATTTGTTTCGGAAAGATTCTCCATCTTGTATCAATTTTTAATTGTTACTGTGTAAATCATTAATCTTCACATTTGACTCCCTCAGGTGTCCCCATCAGAGTGCAGAATCTCAAAGATGGCACTGTCCATGACAAGCCCCTGGATATTTACCTGTACCTGAACAAAATGGGGTCAGTAGAGCAAGGCGTGGTTTAAAAAAATACCAGTTTGAGAAGAAACGTGATGTGGTTTTTCAGATGCTTCTTGTGCATTCAAGTTCATTTAAGTATTACATCTAAAAGAATAAATTAGAAAAGGGGATTTTGGTCGTCAACTTCCGCCTGCAACAATAGTTTCTTTTCCCACCATTTAGTAGTAAAATCATGTGATAAAAAAGAATTTACTGCATTTGAACAATCACATTTTTTCTCTCATTCATGTAATACTTTCACTTTATACGATCGTAACCTTAGCGTTTGCAAAGACGATGTAGTTTCTTACTTTCACTTATAGTCAAGTTCTGCAGCGGGAAAAGATCTTTCCAATGATACCCAGATTAGACTGAGTGCGTCAATTGAGCCTGAAATATACACGAAAATACTCAGAAATTTGAGTGAAAACTCGGAACAAAATTTCCTCGATGTCAACCACACTTGGCTACTCCGAGGTACGAATTTCCCGCCTCGATGATGCTTTCTCGGAAATTCTTGAACTGGAAGCAAGACCAGAAGAAGGTCAATAACTGCAGTAGATAGATACGATTTTGGCTCATATCCAGGCTGAAAATGTCCAAAATGTCCCAAAAAAATGCGTTTTGCCAAAAAGCTCCTTGTGTCAATGGGTTGAAGAGGCGATAGATATTTTATTATTACTATTAAATGAGGCAAACATAACTATAGAAAATGAAACAGTGATGTGAAACTGTAGTTACTGACACTTGGCGTTTTTTATTTCATCAGTGGTCGCCATGGTGTGGGAAGAATTGATATTGTTGAAAACAGATTTATTGGAATGAAATCCAGAGGTGCGTGCTTTTGCGTTATGTTTCAGTCGTTTTGGTAACAGGAAAACGTGCTCGTAAATCTTGTGGCATCATTTACACTTTCAACCTCCCGAGACTCATGATAGTTATCGGTGTTTTGGCTGTAAGTAAAGGTTCTATTGGTAATGTTTCTTTATCTTAACATACATTTTTTAAGGTTAGAATTCGAATTGCGGCACAGCACATGTCCAAAAGAGTTGCAGAAATATCTTTGCCGGAGTCTGTACAGCAAGCGAGAGGAATCTATTCGCCTCGCGCGTTTCTTTCCTCGCGCGCGCCCCTCTTGATATCGCCCTATAAGTCGCCCACGCGCAGCTCGGCAGACGAATTTTCTCACATTCTTTTCCATCTTATCATTTTTTAAGGAATCTACGAATGCCCAGGTGGGACGATTTTACGAGCTGCGCACTTGGATATCGAGACGTTTACAATGGACAGGGTATGTTCACAGAACGAAAGATAAACGCGAAGAAAGTTGTGTGAGAGCAAAAAGTCGAACGTTTCTCTTCTCTTCGTGTTAGGAAATGCGGAAAATCAAGCAGATGCTGGCCGAAAAGTTTTCTGATCAGCTGTACTGCGGATACTGGTACAGTCCTGAGGGAGAGTATGTGCGGTTCTGTTTGGACAAGAGCCAGGACAACGTGGAAGGAAAAGTGACGTTTAACCTCTTCAAGGGCAACGTATGTTCAATTATTTATGCTAGTTGATAAGCCAATCTCGCCTACCCTAGCTCTCTCAGTTACCCTTATTTACATGTATCTGTTATTGGCCTGGGAAAACAGTTAACCAGTGGCAAGGGCGTAAAAGGCGTAACCAGTGGTCCAAGGGCGGGAAAAAAGTGACCTCGGGCAGGCGCGTGAAAACACACTACTAATGGCAAAAGGGGAAAACATTTGACTCGAGGCAAGCGCGGGAAAACCAGTAGCGGAAAAAGCCTTGCACTAGTTTTAAAGCAATCTAAGAGCTTAGAAAAGACAAACCTAAGCCAACACGCAATAGTAACCACAGTTCTTTTGTGCGTGAACTTTCTTTTGTTTTCTTTTTTTCTGTAGGTTTACATCACAAGCCGCGAATCCAAGGCATCTCTCTACAACGAGGAATTAGTCAGGTAACAAATGCGTTTGTTTCTGGCCTTTACTTCGTTGTGTTAATGCATAATTACGTCTAAAAAATTCGAAAGCATGAAAGTTGGTCGGAAAAGGAAGCAACTCTCAGAAATGTAAGCCGAAAGCGAAAAAACTCAGTATTCAGTAATTTTCAGCATTCGAGTGGAATGTATCTCTTTGCAAGATGTAAGCCCGTGAACAAATTCTTCTTGAATTCATTTTGTTCGCCTATGTACGGCGTTGAAAACAGATTGTAACATAAATGCCCCATTTTCCTCGTACTCTTCTAGAAACAAATTGGTGTGGTAAATGCCCTCTTCACTTTTAACTCTTCAGAAACAAATGCTGCCTTTGTCAAACTGAGTTTTTCAATAAACAGATCCCTCAAAAAACGAAATGGACTTTTCTCTGTTCATAAGTGGCCTTCTTGTCTGGCAAGAGTGTAATCTCATGGTCAAGCAGACAAGAGATAAGATTTTACAAAATCGTCAAATGTTTGAATATTGTCCTGATATGAGACCACAAGTCTTGAAACGTAAGGTCGGAATCTTTGTATGGAAGTGAGAAAGGAGAATTTACATCCCTAACTTGTGTCTGTTTATAAACAGCATGGACAGCATTACTGGCTATAACCCACAAGATGCGGCTGGCTTCATTAGAATCAACGCTTTGAGGTAAGCAAGAATCGTAGTGGCATATTTGCGGTTTAATACCTAGTATGACAGACGATATGAGTAAAAAGTAGAATGAAGATATTTATAAATGACTAATTAGGATTTGGATGTGTTTGTTTTACAGGTTGCGTGAACACAGCCGACTGCGAAAGGCACTGGACAAAGCGGGTGAAGTAAATGGCTCCTAAACGTGTCATGTGCGAGTTTATGACGTGAATCAGTCTACGGAGTATTCAACTGAAATTGCGCGAGAGCACTAACGTAAAATTTATAACAATGTCATTGTGTGAACTGTAAGTTCTTGTAGAACTGATTCAGGAAAATGAAAATGAAAATATAGTTTTAATACCATTTACAGTCGTGTTTTCTTTAATCAAGTGTCCGGGTTAACTGGGTGTCCGTACTGAGCGGGCTGTGAGGAAAAACGTCACAAATCCAATAAAACGTCTAAGAGTTGAACATCAGTTGTTTTGCCCCTTTGTAACAAGCCCTTCTTCCACTATAAGCGCCTCTCTGAAGCTGTCACGGTGGTCGGAAATCAATAAAGCCCGCGGATGTTGGTAGGGAGGTTACGAGGCAGCCGTTACGTGATAATAGACACCTTAAGGTCATTCCTCACATTTGCATTGCGCATCCTTACTGCGCATAATTTATGGCGTCATTAGCGCGCGCTCGTGCACGCGCATATTGAAAAC